TGTGTGTGTGTGTAAGACAGTTTCAGAAGAGACCATAAAAGAAGGGCTGGAAGTTAGATTTTGAACATCTTCAGTACAGAATGTCTTTTGCCTTACTGTTTTGTGTGTGTGTGTGTGTAAGACAGTTTCGGAAGAGACCATATTGATAAACTTGAAAGAAGGAGCCTCTTCTCTGAGTGAAAATTGCTAGGATTCATTAGCTATTAGTCATTGGTGCAGTAGAGTTCCTCCTTGAAACTGTTGTAATAATCTTGAATTACAAAGAGAATCGAAGAACTGAGTTTGAGAACTTTGAGGGAATCTCAGTCAGATCAACTTGGCCAGGTATCATGGCTCACAAATGCTACAGAAACTTACCAGTTTTAGATCAGTATCTTATTTTCAGAGACCTAATCCCTAAAGTAATTACCATCAAATTCTAAGGCATTTCCCCTAGTTTTAGAAATGAAATTTGTTGGTTTTTTAATTCATACTTTCATAAGTCTGGCAATCTGTAAAAAAGGAAAAAATAATTTTCCTTTGACCTATAAGAGTACCTGACAAACCTTCTATTCTCCCACTTAAATGGTTCATAAAGCCCTGTTTCATAAACACTGTGTAAACAGACATTGTTTCCTCAGCTTGAAGGATCTCTGTTCTTCCCTCATCTATATCTTTTGGACTCTGCTATGGAATTGTCTTTTAAACTTTTATTAGAACATTAATTTCAGGGAGCCTTTTATTCAGTTGAGTAGATGCTGACTCAGTGCTAAACAATCTAACAATGCAGGAGCTGCAGGAGATGCGGGTTTGATCCCTGTGTTGGGAAGATCCTCTGGAGGAGGAAATGGCAACCCACCCCCAATGTTCTTAACAGGTATAATCCCATGGACAGAGGATCCTGGCGGCCTACAGTCCATGAGGTCCCAAAGAATTGGATGTAGCTGAGCACGCACGCACGCATAGCCATAACAGAGTGCTTGGCGTAAAAACCGGTTGCAAACATTTTACTACTAAAAAGCAGCATTTGCTTTAACAGACAGCAGTATTGACTACAAGTATCTTGTCTATATAGACTGAAGTAAGGCTTTGGGGGGTAAGCACACAATTTGCAAGTTTTAAATATTGGCATTTAACCCTGACTCTGAATTGGAATAAGTCATAGAGGGTTTTATCTGGTTCATAGGGTATTGTCCTCAACCCACTGAATCACACATTGAATCTGGAGATTGAATCTGGAATCCACACATTGCTCCAAATTAATAATTTATACGTAACAGCCATAACTTGTCAATATGAAAAGTTATTTCACTGCTTATCTTCAGGTTTGGGAACATAGTTGAAGGGTTCTACAACTGAAAAGATGGTAACATAATCACAGACTATACAACTAGAAGTAAAACCTTTTAAAAGAGGAATAAAGTCTTGAAATTGGTGTTTTATGTGTTAATTACATCAACTTTCATGTCTTTCTGGAGGGGAAAATCTAGTTCTTTAGTCTATAGAAAGCAAAGTACTGAAAAGTTATTTTGAAATATTGAACAAGTCAAAGCCTTTTAAAGAAAAAGTTACTTTGGTGATAACGATGTCAACAGAAATTGTAATGAATTGAACCTTGTATTAAATTGGACCAGAAAGGCTCTATTAAAAGGAAATCACTGTAACATTAGGAAAAAATGTTGTAGGTAAGTCTTCTTGCTTTGAAATTAGTTTTCTATAGAGTGCTTTCTGCCTTGAGGTTTATGATAGTCTTTGTACTGCAGAAGCCTTCATTGGGTGGTAACTATTTCACACAGCAGTAGTCAGTTTCAGTACTGCAATATTTCAGTATGAGGTATATTTCCTAACTCTTTCTGTTGGTTGCAAGGATGGGTGCTAGATATTTTACCATGGTATCTTCAGGTTTGGGGCTGATTATCATAGCTGATAGTTATTTGCTGACTTATGTGTTAAAAATACATCTTATTTTGCATCCAGTTTAGATACTAGAAATGAAACTATGAAGTCATATCATCCCCAACCTAGTCTCTCGTCTCCCTTTAGTTTACTCAAAGGTATATCAGTTATTTTTGTTATGTGGGGTGGTTTTATGTGGCTGTACTTAGTTTGATAAACTTAATTATTCTGTAAGTTTTTTCATTCTCATGCCTGTTTTTGAATATGTACACTCTTGCAGAGTTAGTTTTTACGTATCATTGTGGTTTGGAAATGTTTGATATTTCATAATGTTGTGGGTTTGAAATGGTGCATCAGTGACTTCATTGCTGATTTTAAGATCGATTAATAATTATGTAGTCCAGAACTACTTCTGCCAGACTTCATTACAGGACCTTCAATATTGATAGATGAAATGTAGATTGGGCGATTTGAATAATGCATCTCTCTGCTCTTTGTGAGATTTCAGTGGAATAGTGAAACTGAAATATTGCCATCTTAAATGGTGTTTTCTTGGCCGGTCACTTTGCATCCTTTGACTCAGGAAAGTTCTGTCTTCTGTTGTTGTTGTTTTGTTGCTGGCTGACTTCTGCAACCCCATGGCCTGTAGCTCGCCAGGCCCCTCTGTCTATGGGATTTTCCAGGCAAGAATGGGGTGCGTTGCCATTTCCTTCTTTCCCAATCCGGGGATCAAACCTGCATCTCCTGCATTGGAAGGCGGATTCTTTACCACTGAGCCACCAGAGAAGCCCCTGTCTTATTAATGCTGGCAGGATAGCTTAGACTTAGAAATGTAATACAATCTGAATGTGTGGCTGCTGTGCCTCTTTTTATCTAGAGGAAAACAACTGGTTATAAAATGTGCTTTGCTTTCGTAGTACTCACTTTTTAAAATAGTCTGTTTTCTATTGCTGTGGTAGCACATTAAAGGATGTTTGAGGACATACCATCTGCTTTGTAGGCCAGGGAAGAGTAAAAGCAGTTCTCAAAGTGTTCAGATGTTGGATTTTTTTTCCCCCATTCTGTAAATGATGGCAAATATTTTTTCACTTTTGATTGTCATTGTGTCCCTAGTATCTTCATTGTTCTAAGGACATTATAGGGTCTTGAAGTAGTCGTTGAATGGATTAAATATTTAATATTTAAGGGTCATAGTCATTTTGTTAGTAGCTTGCTCATTCAGGATATTACAACCTCTAAATATTGAGTACTGCAAATGTAGGCTACAGTAATTATGCATGCATATAATAGATATTTGTGAATAACTACTAGTTCATACGAAATTATGCCTTCTAATCTTTGTTTCATTGTAATACTGGGTAACTGCCATTAGTCTATTTTTGTTAACTGAGGGTTCTGACTGACCAAGTGCAGTTTTGTTGATTCTGTGTTGAAATACAGTACTAAAAGCTTGCTGATGACTCTCTCCCTTGATATAGAAAGTTTTAAATTCCTTTTGGGCTTACATCTACAAGTTGTCATTATATGTATCAGTTTTCAGTTTTTCCAGCAGTTGAAAAAAGACAACTCTTTAGACATTTGGCTTGTGGATAGAAATGGTGATTTTTAGAAAATAGTTTTGTACTTTTGGCTTTTGATTACTTTTAATGGTAAAAATTTGGAGGCTTGGAAATTTTGAATATGTATTTCTGGAAATATATTTTAGAAGAATTCAGAGACTTAACCTTTTTTTATTGTTTATTTATTTCTGACTGTGCTGGGTCTTCCCTGTTGAACGGGCTTTTCTCTAGTTGCGGTGAGCTGAGGCTACTGTCTAGTTGCAGTGTGAGGGCTTCTCTTGTTGCAGAGCACAGGCTGTAGGGCTCACAGGTTTCAGTAGTTGCTGCACATGTACCCTCAGTAGTTCTCTAGGGGATCTTCCTGACTCAGGGATCAAACCTGTGTTTCCTGCATTGCAGGTGGATTCTTTACCTGCTGAGCTATCAAGGAAGCCCCACCTTTAAAAATTTTTTTTTAAAAATATTCTATACTAACTATAGTACTGGTTTGCCTTTTCCTAATTATATTTATATAGCCAGCTCAGTGTTGATAAACTTGATGCCAGATCGCACCACATTGGTTTTTTTGACTATATTGCACAGCATATGGGATCTGAGTTCTCAGACCACAGATCAAACCTGAGCCCCCTACATTGGAAGCATAGTCGTAACCACTGGAGCACCAGGGAAGTCCCTGGCACCCAGTGTTCTTGATGATGATTTGTATTCTTAAAGATTAGCGTTACGCCTTGAGTTTGACATGTGTTTTGTTTTTGTTTCTTTTTTTTTTTTTTTGTCGGGGGGACAGGCTTATGCAATATTATTACAAGTGGATGCTGTAAATGAAACTATGAGGTCATGCCATCCCACCCTATTCCCTCATCTCCCTTTAGGTTTAGAAAACCAGTGGTTTTCTTTATGTGGGATGGTTTTGTGTGACTATTTGGTGCATTCTTTGTGATACTTAAAATACTTTTAACAGACTCTAAATATAATAAATATTGAAAAATCAGTAAGGGCAAATAGTTTTACTCTTTATGATAATTCTCATAGTCATTTTAAAAAATGTATATATTCCATGGCTGATGCATGTCAATGTATGGCAAAAACCACTACAATATTGTAAAGTAATTAGCCTTCAGCTAATAAAAATAAATGGAAAAAAAATAAAACTAAAAAAATGTATATATTATTTTGAGATAAGCAGTGGTATTTAATCCATTAACACCATTGAACTTTTACTTTCAGTTTTTAAAATAACGATGTGTCCTGTTTGAAGTGTTCAGTAACTAACACTTCCTATTTACTAGAAGACTTAAAAACCTGATTCTTTTTTCCATATAAACAAATTTACTTAGGATAAGTTGATATCAAGTTAATTCTTATGCCAAATCTCTACTCTCAAATGTTCAAAGAAAATAATGCAGCAGTCCGTTTGTTCTCAGCAATAAATGTTCAGAGTAATGCTAGTTGGTTGTCTAGTATGTTTTATTTACATAGCATAGTTTCATAATTATATTAAAGCTTATATACCTGAAAATTATCTTATATGACTGATTTTTAGTGCATTAATTTTCTCTCTTGCAGCATTTTCAGTTAGCTTTGGTTGACTGTAATCCCTGCACTTTGTCCAATGCTGAAAGTAAGTATTATTAAGTACCATAGTTTTCTGCATGTGTTCAGATCACTTCATGCAGATAATAATAATAGTCATGAATCCTGTGTAATTTTTTCCCCTGGAATTGTTGAATCTAACTATATTTGTTACCATAACTGTTTGTACAAATGGAACATGTGAGACCAGTTATTTTATTGTGAACAATGTGTGTCTAAAATATATGCTAGTGAACTGGGTTGTTGAATTAAAATTTTCTGGTACTAGTGAACAAGATTGATTATTTGTATATTAATTACATTGTAGATGACTTGGGGAGGTTAAAAACAGGATTACCAGTCTTTTCAGAAATCTGAGTGTATAAAGATTGATGTGTTAGTTCACTGATTCATACTTTGTGAATTAAAATTATTGGTAATGACGAGGATATACTTTGACTTTCTGTTATAATTTTTAAACATCATACATAGTGTGGTGAGATTTTTCAGTTAATTAGAGTGCATAAAAAATTGAATCATTCTTCATGAAAATTTCAGATAAATCAACGATTCTAGATTTTACAAAGTCGGTAGTTTAGTGAAGTTAGTAGTCACAGTGGTAAAAATGCCTCCAAATGATTGACTCAGTGAAAAAACTGTAGAAATTTGAATATAACTTGCATATAAGATGAAATAAGATATAGTGTTGACTAAATCATTATCTACACCAGACTAATTGTCTCATAATTCTACTAAATGCAGTTTCCTGAGAAAACTTAAAAGAATTCTGTTTCCTTTAAATGAAACTTAGGGTTTAGTACTGATCAGTGTATTTCCAGAACAAATGGTAGAAAGGTAACAAATGCAGCACTATTTTCATTTCTAAGATGAGGTTAAATGAGAAAAAGGATTTAACTCATTGATATATTAATTTATGAAGTGTTCATTTTTTATTTTTACTTATTTATGTATCCTTAATTTTATATCCAGGTTATATAACCATCTAAAATATAAACCCCTAAAATCCCTTTAAAATTATTTTATGGGAATAAGGGGAAAAAAAGTCTGATTTTCATTTAATTGATTGTATCTAGTGCCTAGAAACTAACTTTCATTCGTACTTGTCAATTTGAATGATAAACTCTTGAGGGACGTTTCATAACTTTCAAACTAAATATTTTTGTAAATCCTTGTTTTATTCTACTGGAGCTGAAATCTTACTTGTAGATCATTGTGCCTGAGAGGGAAACACCTATGTAGAATGAGTATCAGAGGGTAGATACTTTCTTGTGGAATTTGAAGAGGACAGTTCTAACAATCAGGAATACATTTTTGAGCTTACCACAGCTCTCTTTCTCTTGATTGCTGAGAAAGGAAATAAGAGTCCTGCTCTGCACAGGACTGAGGAATTTCCCCAGACTCAGAACTATGAGTGCTAAAAGGTTTGTCACTCTTATGGAAAGCATGTGCTTTATTTAGAGACATTACGCCATTATAGTTCAGTTGATGTGGGTAGTTTATTTTTAACTATATAACTTCATAACTACTTCATAACCATGATAATAAAGACTGGTGTCTCACAGAGCACTCTCAAATATAGACTACTCACTTTGGGTACACATTATTACTATATAAATACCAGACTCTTTATAATCTTTGTAAAACTTACTTCTCTTCGGATTTTTTAATATCACCTATTTAGGTAAGCCACAGACTTGTTTTTTGAAATCTTCCATGTTACTTTGTCATACTACAAAGGTCAGAAGATTTTAGAAAGTGAAGTGAGCTTTTAAAGTCTGTAAGAGATGTCTGTTTTATTGCACAGTTCATTTATGCATTAAAAAAACACATATACTTGCCGCTTCTAGAGCCTTTAAGAAGGGTTAATTGCTCTTTGTGTTTTGAAAAGTAGAATCATGGTGATGAGAGACTTATACAATTGCCCCTTGGGATAAAATTGTTTCTTTAATTAATTCTAAAAATGTCTTAATTTCTGAATAAAGTTTAATTTCAGAACTTTTTATGGCAATATTTGTTAAATTTCTACCTCTAATTGAGACTTGCCAAGTGGAGCTTTTTCTTACCTGTATGGTTATGTTCCACTTTGAAAGAAGACTTTTAAGAATCTAAATATAAATTGGTTTTCACACCAGAAAAGATGATACTGGATTTAGTAACTTCTGGGATAGGAAAGCCCTTGTTGAACCTGGAGGAACTTTGGGATGGAAATAGAATGCTACCTTATTGCTACTTATCTTTTCTTCCATGTCACCTTTCTTAGAGGAGTAAGAAGACGGGGGCGGAGAGCGGGGTAGATAAACATATATTTTCCATCTCTTCCTCATTCTCTAATGATATAGTCAGGTGAGATTTGTACTGGAACTCTCAAAGAGAGCTGTGTTGAAAAAGGGGACTAGCAAATAAGAAAGCCACTCAATAGATACAGGTAAAGGGAGAGGATATTTAAATCTGTAGAACTTTTATTATTATTTTTATTATGTACTTTTCACAAAAAGTTGATTTTCATCTTTTTAAAAATGATATTTTTATTTTGTCTCATCTCTGCTTATGATATTTAATGATTATGTATGAAGAAGGCAGTACTTTTGATCCAAAAATGTTTGATTTTAAAGTTCATTATATATTTTGTTTTGGGCTTTGTGCATATTTACTTTAGCTATTCTCAGGTGTTGCTCTAGGGAACCGGTGTCAAAATCCTTTGTTAATCCCAGAACTAAATAAAAAGGTACCTTTCCGGGCCTTGCCCCAGGCTCACTGAATACAATCTCAGGGATCTCTATTTTTAACTAACATCTCAGGTGAATCTTACAGTTACGGGAGTCAGTGTGAGAGTTAAGTTTATGATACCAATGAGAACTTGATGATAGCTATAGACCTTATTTTTAAAGATCCAGATACATATTTACATATAATTTTGAAAAGCTCCCAGACTCCTTGAAAGCCAACTATGAAATCCAGGTAGATCGAACATTAAAAAAAAAAAAGATTTGTCGTTGGAGGATGAAAATCATTTTAGTAAGCCAGAATCCAGTTTTGATTCCTGATTCATTGTTGCTTTCATTGAATCATTCATACTCTGGTGGTGCAGTATCAGGAAGAGCTGGAAATAAAAGCTGAAATACGTATATTTTTTATTTTCCAGAGATACTTGTTAATGTTAGTATTCTTTATTATTCTTGCTTTCCAAGTGGTTTGACCTTTTAAAAAATTTTTTTGAAGAGCTGATAGAGAAATGCAACTTGTTGTCTGTGACATCTTTGTAAACATTAGTATGAAATATATAATGAAATATATAACTAAAAAGAGTATTTTTCATTGTTTTAATCAAATATTGACTTTCTTTTTTGTTTTAACTGAGGTTTTAAATACCATCCTGTGAAATGTATAGATTATAAAAGTTATATTTTATATCTGTTTAATGTTGCCATTTGAACTTTAAGTATACTCACTTGCTCCAGATTTTAATGTTAATTTTAATAATTACATTGACAGGATTTAGTAATGACCAATAATGAATACATGTAGTTTCTTATCATGTTCTTATATGCTTGTATATTTTATTAAGAATAAGTTATGTTCTGAAATTACTTAAATCTATGCAGCAGATAGTGTTTATATTTTACATTTTATATTCTTAAATTTATCCAAACACTACTGTAATACAGTTGTTGACTTATTTTCTCATCTTTGCAGTTCAATTTCACATTGCCCACTTATATGAAACCCAGGTAAGTGTTTTAACTTAGCTTACTTTAAAACACTCATACCATTTTAAGTGGAATCAGATACACAGATAATTTAATGGAGTTCTGGGCACTACTTACATAATTCTCAATAAATGTGGTCAAGATTTTGCATTCATGTTACAGTTATTACACAGAGTTCCTGTTGTATACAAAGAACCCATTAAACTCAAACTATCTGCAGCCTTAAATGGCTGTATTTGAGAAGCTTTCTCATATTCTTGACGTGGAATGCCTAGGTTTCTTTTCAGAATGTTATAGATGGTTGTTATAATGCATTGTTCTTAGTTTCACTTTTTATTAAGATCAAAATACCCCTTCCGTATATCACCATTTGAAAAGCATATTAGTAACCTCTTTATGTCATTTATGTCACCAGTACTTTTATGGCTGCTATATTTAATTTTTTTTTGGCTGTGCTGCAAGGCATGTCGGATCTTAGTTCCCTGACCAGGGATGGAACCTGTGACCCCCCACAGTGAAGGTGCAGAGTCTTAATCACTGGACCACCAGGGAAGCCCTGGCTTCTATATTTAAAAAGCTATTTTAGAACATATCTTTATATATGGCAGAATTTGCTTAGTTACATGATATAGGGTATAACACATAAAAATTTAGTCTAGGTAAGCAGTGGTATGGGCTTCCCCAGCTGGTAAAGAATCCACCTGCAATGCAGGCGACCCCGGTTCAATTCCTTGGTGGGAAGATCCCCTGGAGAAGGAATAGGCTACCCACTGCAGTATTTTTGGGCTTCCCTGGTGGCTCAGTCGGTAAAGAATCCGCCTGCAATGTAGGAGACCTGGGTTTGATTCCTGAGTTGGGAAGATCCCCTGAAGAAGGGATAGGCTACCCACTCCAGTATTTTGCCTGGAGAATTCTGTGAACAGAGGAGCCTGACAGGCTACAGTCCATGGGGCTGCAAAGAGTTGGACATGACTGAGCGACTAAGCATAGCACAGTTAGTGGTATGGAAAATCAAGCGTAAGTTGGTATGAGGCTAAATATTAGGTAATCATAGTTTGCTGCTGTTATGCTATGCTCAGTCATGTCCAATTCTTTGTAACCCCATGGACTGTAGCCCACCAGGCTCCTCTGTCCATGGGATTTTCCAGACAAAAATACTGGAGTGGACTGCCATTTCCTGCTGTAATCATAGTTTACCCAGAATATAATTTTTATAACAGCTATTTAGGAAAATAAAGTGCTGTTATATTTCTAGATAATTTCTAAGGTCTGTTTTGTTTCAGAGGCACCATGAGGTGGTCTAAAAAAAAAAAATTAACATCTTATTGCTGGACACCTCCATCTGCTGTGGTTTCTCACCCCACCCTCCTTGCACACATGCACACAGGTGTGTGTATGTCTACTGAGTCAGAATTGATGCACAGTCAGGTTTGGATACTCTACTAATATAGGGATTTTATCCAGCTTAAGAGGGTGCATTTGAGAATCACGTGCATGTTGTGGAGCAGAGTCTTTACCTGCCAGTGCTAATCACTGCCTCCTTGTCAACTGCTGAATCAGTAAAGGCCCCAGGGTGAAAGCAGCTATAGAAATAAGCTACTTCTCCAAAGTTCTTTCTCTGGAGCCTTAGTTCCTTCTGCTTTCATTGCCTCAGGAGATTTCTGTTGCCTTCTAAAGGATGAGCTCTGATTTTTTTCCCCTAGTTTTCGTAGCTCTTAGTGAGATTTCCCTCATCGGTCATTAGGTAAAACAGATGTTATCTAACCATTCTTTTTAATGAGTGTTTTTTTTGGCTGGAGATGGAATTCTAGTTTTATTATTGTATATGACCGCTTTAAAATTTACATTCCATTGCCCTCTGGTTTTCATTGTTTCTGGTGAGTCGTCTGTTGGTATTAATTGTTTTGAATCTTATGAAGGTAATGTGGGGACAGGGCCCTTCCCCCACTGATTCTTTCATTTGATAAATTTTAGTGCCCATTAAGATTAAACAAAACAAAACCAAAAAAAATTCATGCTAGGCAGAGTATGTAATTATTAGATGATAGGAAGCTGACACTATAAGCAGATGAAAGGGTTGAGAAATCTCTGCTTCAGTGCTTATAACAAGGATTTTTATTTTCAGGTGAAAAATTAAGGAAAACAGACTTACCTACCTATCTGAAGTGTACAATGTGATGATTTGATATATGTGTGATTTCCCCCCACTGAATTATTAACACACCCATCACCTCACACCTTCAAAGAGGAGCATTGAAAACATTTTAGTTCTCTTCACAAACTTCAGTTGTACAATACATTGTTATCAGCAGTAGTCATCATATTATATGTTTGATCCTCAGACCATATTTATCTTACAAATAAAAATTCGTACCCTTTTACCAACCTCTCCCTGTTTCTTCCATATCACCTCCTGGTGACACTTGCAAATCCCCTCTTCTAGAAGATCAAGCCCCCACCTCACTGCTTTTTAAAAAGAATCCACACAGAAGTGACACTGTATATAGCATTTATCTTTCATTGCCTGGTTTTTTTCACTTACCATAATTCCCTCCAGGTTTATCCATGCTGTCACAAATGACAAGATTTCCTTCTAATTTTAAGGGTGAAATACCATTCCATTGTATTCATATACCACATTTTCTCGATCCCATCTGTAGACAGACACTTAAGTTGTTTCCATCCTTGTTGTTGTTCACTCACTAAGTTGTATCAGACTCTTTGTGACACCAAGGACTGCAGCATCTCCTGGAGTTTGTGCAAACTCATGTCCGTTGAGTTGGTGATGCCATCCAACCGTCTCATCCTCTGTTGCCCCCTTCTCCTCTTTCCTTCAGTCTTTCCCAGCATTAGGGTCTTTTCCAGTGAGTCGGCTCTTGGCATCAGGTGGTCCAAGTATTGGGGCTTCAGCTTCAGCATCAGTCCTTCCAATAAATATGCAGGGTTGATTTCCTTTAGCATGGACCGATTTGGTCTCCTTGCAGTCCAAGGGACTCTCAAGCACCACAATTTGAAAGCATCAATTTTTCGGTGCCAGACTTCATTATGGTCCAACTCTCACACATCTGTACATGACTACTGGAAAAACCAAAGTTTTGACTGTACAGACCTTTGTTGGCAAAGTGAGGTCTCTGCTTTAATTACACTGTCTATGTTTGTCATAGCTTTCCTTCCAAGGAACAAACATCTTTTAATTATTGTGATTTACTCTTAGATATTTATATCATTTATTTATCTTTCTCATTTTATTAGCTGAGACCCTCCCCATAGTATCATTTTTTCCTAATAGTATTAATGGCTTTCATTTCTTTTTCTTGATTATTTATGAAATGACTTGAATAGGTCACCATCTAAATTCTAAATAAACTTAAAGATTAAAGGTAAAGGATTTCTCCCTTTTAATCTTGTTGTTAGTGTTACTTATTTTTGAATAGATAATCCAAAATGAAAGTGCCTGAAAGAATACACAGTGAAGTATCCTTCTCACTGTTTTTCCCTGGCCATCTAGTCCCCTGCCAAAAGCTACCAACTACCATTATCAGTGTTTTTATATCCTTCCAGAGAAACTTGTTGTATATATAAGCAAATCTATATGTATGTTTGCACATATTTTATTTTATTGAAATAATAGCCCATTATGTATGTTTAAATTGGTTTATTTTTTTAAACTTAGCATTATATTTTGGAAATCATTCCTTATTAATACATGTTGATCTGTATTACATCCCTTTGCAGAGATGTAGTGTAACTAATTTAACTATTCTCCTGTGAGAGATAGTTATAATGTTACTATGAATAACACTGTTGGTAAGAATTACTAGTTTCATTGTTAACCTTGCCTTCTAACTATCCAGCCATAGTTATTACTGAAACATTATAGACTGGTTTCATTTATGCATATTATAGAAGTCCAAAAATTCTAAAGAAAGAAAAATTTAAGCAAACATTTAAAGATGCAGTAAGTATGTCCTGATTACCTAGGGTTTATTCCATGAATTCAAGGTTAGTTCAGTGTAAGGAAATGTGTTAACAAAACAAAAATCAATGTAAGGGAAACAATATTGTGAGGAAGAAAGATTTTTTAAAAAGAAATTAATGGTATTAAAAGAGAAAAATGGTAGATCTAATTAAATGAAGTCAAAATGTTTTTATTCTAGAAAAAACTAACAAAATAGATAAATCACAGACTAACTTGATTAAGTGGATAAACGAGATAAACCACAGATACACAAAATAAGATGACCATGGGTGCAGAAGAAATTAGAATAATCCTATGAGACTACTTAGCAGACCTCTGTCTGTGTGGATGGATTTCAAAACGTGAATGAGGTAGACTATTTCCCAGGGAAGTACAGATTAGCAAAATTGACCTCATTAGAGTTAGAAAAGTTATAAAAAGCCATTTTTCATGAAAAGAGAAAAGTAATGCCACACAGAAAGTACCATGCCCAGTTGGTTTTACAGGAGAATTCTACCAAACTTTAAAGACCAGATAATTCAAGTACTCTGTAGATTGTTCCAGAGCATTAGAAAAGGAGAAAAGCTTTCTAATTTCTTTCTCCTTTTTTTGAACAGGATAATCAGGGGCTTATAAATAACTTTCTGCCTGACCTTGAGAGACATGTGTTTGATCATAAAGTCCTTTCTGCACTTACTGATTCTATTGTGTATTTTTGAGATAAAATAGAAACAAAAGTCTGATTCTAAAAATCACTTATGGACCATGGTTCTTTGATGTCTTTTTTATTTTATTGTGACATGTACATGACATAAATTTTACCGTTTTAGCCATTTGTTCAACCATTTGTTCAGTGGCATTAAGTACATTCACTTTATTGTGCAACTATCACCACTGTCCGTCTCTAAAACTTGATCATCTTCCCAAGCTGAACCTCTGTACCCAATAAAGAATAATTCCTCATGCCTCCCTCCCTACAGCCCCTAGCAACCACTATTCCACGTTTTATCTCTATGAGTTTGACTATTCTGGGTACCTCATGTAAGTGGAATGGTACAGTATT